CCTAGCATGCACAGGAGTCAAGATGATTCTTTTTTTTCAAAAAAATCGAACGGACATTATATACGTCACACAGTGCTTAAACTTAAAGGAGTTGAATTAAAATACTTGTATTTGCATTAAAAAAATATTTAGAGTTCACAACGGTGAGCTTGACGAGCTCTAGGAGGCCGAGCGGAAAGGACAGGGTTAACACAATGAAAAGGCCAAGGTTTGAATCAGAATACAATATAATAAACTTTAACGATTAACAAACTGTAGAACTATTAAGATCGATCGTTGTGTCGAGGCGTGGCTCACTAGACGTAGCACTCGCTGTCGAGGTGAGGGCCAGTGCCAAACTGCTATGTGCCACATTAGGTGGCTGCTTTCAAGGAGAGACTCCGTGAAGGAACAGAGGTGGCAGCAGCGCCTAATTTTGCTGCCGCAAAAATCTCGCGCGGGGCAACCTGCTGCTTCCGCCGATTTTGGCTCTTCAGCGCAGAGGCCTGCGGCGCTACAAATATACCGTACTAATATTACATAAAATAGTGTTGAATATTAATTATCAAAGTACATCATGCAAAAGCTCAGCGAGCCAAATCGTCTGTGGTGGCAGAGTGGAAGGAGACACCAACTGCTACAGCAGAACTGAATTTGAGCGCTTCAAATTATTCTTGCATGTAAAACCAACAATATGTCGGCTTCTGTACTACCCACAAAAATTTCTATGTAATGGATTAGAGGTAGCTTCATGGGACGAGTATAAATATCGTATGTATTTATTTAAAATTATCAAAATAATGTCTCTACATAACATACGAACGGAAAGCATTCTAGGATTATAACGTAGAATTTGAGTATGCTTAGTAAAATACCGTATGAATAATTGTTTTTGACATAGAAAGATATGTATTAGATGACACTTTACAAAATCAATAAGACATGTATAATATACTTATAAACTATTCAAATCTAGCTGAACTGAATTTGAGGGCTTCAAATCATGGACACTTACAAGACCGGACATATTTTGGCTTCTACATTACCCAAAAAATTTTTTTATTATTTATGTGGTTTTTTTCATTTTTCAAGGTATAAAAGTTTTTTTTTTCATGTCGTTTCTGTTGCTATTTATGAAGCAAAATATTTTTTCTCGTAAACAGTAAAAAAAATTTTCGTACATCAGATGACAGCTGTGGTAAGATCTGTCTGAAAACTGACAGAATCAGTAAATGCTTTGATTTTTCTATATATTTTTATATTATCAGCATATAAATTAAGCAGAATAAAGCGAAAACAGCAGATACAAAACTACTAATGGCCATGAAAAGAGAAGAGGACTTGTGTAAAAGCTCTGAGGGACACCAGGAGAGGCATGTATATATAGGCATCTCTCTGCTTAAAACAACAATAAATGAAAAGAAGCCAATTACGTAGNTGTTCCTAAAATGTTTTGTGTTAGTACGTTAAGAAGAGACATTATTTCAATAATTTTAAATAAATAAATTCGATTTTTATACTCGTTTCATCAAACTTTCCCAAATCCATTGTCTAAGAATTTTTGTGGGTTGTATATATGCCGAAATATTGTTGGTTCTACAAGCACGGACAATTGGAAGGACTAGAATTGAGTTCTGCAGTAGCAGCTGGTCTCTCCTCCCACTCTGCTGACACAGAGAAAATTTGGCGTGGTGAGCTTTCACATGATCTACTACGAAAACTGTTATTTAATACTATTTTATGTAATATTAGTACAGTATATTTTGTAATGTAAATACTTTTATTAAACTTTAACTCCTTTTAGTTTAAGTACTGTGTGACATATATAACGTTCATACGATTTTTTTGAAAAAAAAAATCATGTTGACTTCTGTGCATGCTAGGACAACTTTTTTTTTATTTATAAAAAAATATCAGCTTTACAGCTGTGCTTACGAAAATCATATTTATGGATTTTAAAAAGAGTAATATAATTCTACACGTGCGTCGGAAACTCGAATTGCTAAAATAACAATCATCAAATCTGTAAAAATTAATTTTTAATAAATATTTGAACGGGATACTAGAGCTCAATAGCCTTATGATTTTTCTGGCTTGGTCTGACCAGTAGAATCTGTTAGTAAAAAAAGTGGTGCCATTTGTAATTAAGAAAAAAAAAATGTTATCGTTAATAACTGAAAAAGTAATTGACGAATGACGCTACAATAATTTGTGAATGTTTGGGTCAATATTGCTATAATTTTTAAGAATTTTTAGCCATCCATGTGCAGTCATTTTTTTTATTAAAAAAATAAGGAAAAAACAGTTTTTTATTTTCTGAGGCTATTTGAAGGCTAACAATTACAGTTAGTGACCTTTATCCGTGCTTATTTTTCAGGAAAGTTGATTTGAAATGAATTTTTGAACGCGTATACTGTACTAAAAGTTAAGAGGAATGGAGATATTAAAGAAAATATTGATTACTTTTTCAGTCTGTAATTGTTAATTAGAAAATGAAGCACACCAAAAATTTTCGCGCATACTTAAACGGTTCAACTATACCTTAAAATAAAGCAGTTAAAACAATAAAATAACTTATGCATAAAGAATACACTTAAAACTTTCTACCGTCTTTCCTTTAATAAAGAAAGAATTACATACATGTATGTCATAAAAAAGTAAACCTAGATAAAACAAAAAAATGAAAAACAATACATTTCTCTGTTATCTTTATGTATGAGTATCTTGGTGGTTCTCTTTATGAACTTTACCAGGGTTCAACATTTAACTAGTTGACGAAGTAATAGTTCCTTATAATGAAAAGTACTATCAAAGTGATATGCTTCTAAAATGCTTAGCTTCAAAAATATTTATTTGAATATCAACACTAAATGCTGTATCAAACTATATATTCAAGAAAGCTGAATATTTTTTCTATTTACCTATATTCTGTACGTGGTTCTACCACACGGTTTTAATAAATTGAATATTTTATTCTATTCTATTCTATGTAGCTTGCCTGTATGTATATAATTTAGAACCAATGTCAATGCTTAAAACAAAACTAAAGGGAGGTCTATCGATTACAGAATTAACTATGAGAAATTAATTAAAATGTGTTTACAGATAAATAAAGTTATAAAAATAATACTGTCAAAATCTTAAGGCACAAGAGTTCCTGGGAGTTTAGTAATTGATATTTATAATGATGTAATTTTTAGATGTAGGCTTAGGGGCTGATCTATGTTTAAGTGCTTTTATTGCATTCACCTCACTTATTAACAATGAACTTTTAATAAAAAAATCTACTAATAATAAAAAAGTATTGAAGCATAGTATTAAACTTAATTAAGCATTTGAACGGTGCAAGTGGGAAAAGAAATTAATTAATAAGGGAGGTAAAAACTAGAAAAGGTTATGTTATCACAATAGAACCAGAAAGACAGACAACATCCCACACCATAAAGAGCGTCACATGGACTGTAGCAAAGGATTAAACCTCCTTAAGGTGGCTCCAGCGCCTAGTGCCGTATCAAAATGGGGAGACTAAAAATTAATCATTATTTTCTTTAAAATATGGTATAAAATTATCGTAGAGACTGTTGTAAGCCATATTCTACATTTTATCTGTTACTTTAGTGAGTTAATATAAAAAAACAAAAAAGTCTTATGGTGCCCTAATTGATGAACTGTTACGGTACGCTCCTAAGTTCAAGAGTAGTTATACCTATATATATGTACTCTGCAGAATGCAGACAGCTGAGAGCTGACTTGCACTCGCAACTGTATACTTAGTCTCCGATTATTTAAAGATTTTGTTCGATAACAAGACACTTTTCTCATGTCATCGAAAACTGCGTAATAATATATACAAGATAGTATGTTTTTTACACCTTACGGGTTATTTATATAAGTGCAGCAGTAGGTTGTATATCGCGTAAGCTTGCATTTCCTATCTAACCCGTCTTAAAACTACGATTTTGTAAGCATGATTTCTTACAATTTTCATCGTCAACCTTAATTTTTTTTTATACGAATAGAAAGATGGGAATTCAAAGAATATAATTCAATTTTATTAACCTCGGTTGGGTTATTTATAATTTTAACATTAAGGCCACTGGAGCCACCTCAACTCGTTTAGAGAAACGCGTTACCTGGACTTTGATTCTACTGAAAAACACGTATTTAGGTAAATGACTGCAATTCTAAGCTAGCTTAGTTTTCTAAAGCACGCCAACTAGTACTAGGGACAAGAAGTTTTTTAAATTAAGGATTCTTTTGTGTTATTTGTATTGGACATACACTTTTTATAAAATATAGGTAAGCTTAAATCTTATATCATTAAGTGGATTTTGTAAATTGTTAAAAGTGACAGCTGCCCTTTTACATCTGTGAAGTATTTGAAATTCAAATAAGTAATGTGAATAGCATTTCAATTATACTAAATTGCTTACTATCTGCTGTATGTTATATTTATTCTTAATGGCACTGACTGCTTAAGCCAAGTCAATTGAAAATCATTGTCATTGCTTTGAAAATTCGGCCTTAATCCTTTTTTTCACAGATATGTTAAAACAATTTATTTCCGAGAAAATTGGTCAGTTCTGCACATTAACGAATTTTAACAAACCCTTGTCATCATCATTTTTTGCCACATAAGTAGATAAGTTGTTAAGGAACGGAATCGTGTTATTAATTATATTTACTTGTATGCTTTTTTAAAAAATCGTAAATCTTATCACACTAAAGAATAAATGAGCTTAGTAGCAACTAATTTGTTAGATTTATTAGAAATTGATAACTAAACACTGGTCATTAATTAATTTATTTATAAGGAGTTTATCTAATAACTAATAATTTATGACAGTTTGTTTGTATACCCATAGAAATTCTGCACCAAAAATCAAAAAAAATTTTAGCAAAACAAGTAGCCAAATCAAGACTAAAATTAAGTCATAAACAACAAAAGTAAAATAATACTTTGTGGTCTAATCACATTATTATAAAAAATATTCATAAGACAAAAAAAAATATAAATAGACCTGTAATGTTCTGCAGAAAAATGAGTGGCACTCTTCTCTGAACACATAGCTGGATGAAGTGCGCACCCTTGAGTGCACTCTCAGAAAATAAGACACCATTATTTGCTACAATGCCAACTGGGTATCCATGTATGCTCGCAAATCCAGTTACTAAAGTTTCTCCGTAAAGAGCCTTAAACTCGTGGAAAGCAGAGCTGTCGACGATTCGAGCAATAACCTCTCTGACATCGTAGGGCCGTTTCAGATTTGTACCGACAATACCATAGATTTCGTCAATGGCATGCAACGGTGACTCATACTTCGAATTGACTGTGGCTTTAATATTACGTTGGTAGTTCAGGTTTGACACGATCTGCCGAGTAAGATACAGTGCGTGCTTTTCGTTCATAGCCAAATGGTCTGTCACTCCAGATATTCTAAATTAAGTTAAAATTTTTGAATTCTCTTTTAATATCTTTTATAATATGTACAACTTAACTAAATAAAAAGTATAACCAAATGTACGATAATCATGCATTCATGATTCTTAAATTTTTAATAGTGTTTATACAACTGTTTACTTTTGTTTGTATGAAGAATAAAAATCATATTTTCAACTGACAAGTACTACAACAAAACGCTCATGCTTTTTTCAAAACAAAGCCACAGAAAAAAAAAACAGTGAATGTTTGGGTACCCATGTAAAAAGTCATACTTGTATGGCTAACGATGCTCAAACTGTTTTAACAGGAATATTCAGTTATTGGGCTTAGTTCCAATTATTATTTATGTATTTAATAAATAAACAATTATTAAAAATATGTATTGTAGATAAGTCAAGTTTTTGATTAAAGCCATATGGTACGAAAGGCTGCCAGGCTGGTAAGCACAAGACTGTACACTTTCATCAAATCTTTCAATGATTTCAAAACCTTTTTCTAGCATATATGCTGTACATCTCTGCACTTACATCTGTCACATATACATTTACGTACTTACTTCTATTCGCGTTTTTAATACCCACAGTTTATACAAGTATCTAAGAGGGTAAGAAAAAATATCCTGTAGTACTGCTTCACTTTCACTAAAGTAAAGTATTACATGCCAGTGAATGTTGCTGCAGAATGTTCATTACACATAAAATTTTTAATAGATATAATTAAAATATCGAATATGTTTTCATTGTGGCAGAAAAAATACCCTTAGAAAATTCTAGATCGATTAACTGTACCTTTTTTTATTCGTTTGATACAAAAAAATTTTGACTAACACTGTAGTCTTATAAAAGCATGACATAAAATTACATTTATAAAAAAATGATCTATAGAAATTTTTCTACTTTTTTCGCATGATGGATAACTACAAGATAAACTTATTGAATTTTCTAAATAAAAAAACAAAGCAGGGGTTGATTTTACATGAAGGAGTGAATAAGTGTTTACCTATACGAATAAAGTAATTGCACTTGTTGTTGCATATTAACGCTCCTCTTATCTCTCTGAACCGTCACCCTACTAATGTAGTCATTGTCCTGCAGTCAATAAATTACCTTAGACCGAAGCAAAAAAAATTTTGAACGAATAAAATACTGTAAGAATCGATAAATGTATTTGTAGAGACTTATACAAATAAATTACTAATAATAAAAAGATAAAAAAGGTATTACTGCTTAAAAAATTTTTAAAAATTTAAAAAAAGAATGAATTGACTGTTTAAAAAATGACTTACTCATCAACTAAAGAATCAGCAAACTTATAAAAATTAAATAAATATCCATTATTGTAAGGAAAAGTAGTTGTTAGAAAATATTTGTTACATTATTTTGAAAAAATTTATCAGAAAAAAACGTAGTCACCTAGTGCGCAATAAATCATGGATGTTTAAGACGAAAAGAATGTAAGCCATAATATGTCGTTTTTATTAATTAATACAAAAGTGATGGTTAAGTAAAATTATAAAAAGTTACATAAACTATGTTTGCTGTTAATAAAAAAAAAAATTCTTATAAATAAGTATTTTAAATGTTACACATAAGCAAATATATGTTTATTGTTGCAAGAGCATAAAAATATGTATTTAAACGAATCTAAATAACTGTATCATAGAAACAAGTCGAATGATCGTCAATAATTTGACTCATTAGTTCTTACACCTGTAATTATCGGTTTGTGATAGCTGAATGATAAAAAAAAAATTTTGACTCCATGTTATCTAAAAATTGTGAAATAATAGCATCCATAGTTGTATCACCCAAAGTAGTTAATTTATGTTGATCATTATGGATACGTAAATTAAAAAAATCCGGTAGAAATTTTAGTAATAGACGTGATGTTTTATCATTGAAGTAAACATGAAAATCACCAGAAGCGATAAATGGTAAAGTATGAAAGCTTCTTTCAGCGCAAAAGAACCAATATCTTAATATGGTAGCACTGCCAACGCATTGACTGCGTCACTGCACTCCCCGCGTGCCCGTATATGTAAACATACACATACTTATGGCTCTCTTTCTGTATCTATCATCCTGCAGTCAGCTGTTTCTGCTCCGCGCTGATGTATTCACATATACGTGATGCTTTCTAGTTCCCGCTTTTGGCCTACGCTGCACCCCCTCTCCCCCAGCCCAAGAAAGTATTGAAAAAAAAAAAAAAAAATACAGTTAGAAAGAACAAAAAATGCATCCTCTGATTACACAGTTTGTTAAAACTGAACACTTATAAATTTTGTAGAAAAAAATTATTAACAGTTGCCAAGTTGTCTTGTTTTAAACCTCCGATATCTTTGGAAAACACTTCTTTTTCGATACAATTACGTTGACTTACAAAAAATGAACCTTTTCTGATCTAAATTGAGCTTATCTTACATTGCAAATATTAGCTTAGTTTTTTATTTACGATTAATATATAATACTAATCTAAAAGCTAGCCTCATCTTTTATTATTTGGGTTATTTATAATTTTAACATTAAGGCCACTAGAGCCCCCTCAAATGGCCGTAAAACTTTGTTTACTTGTACGAGTAAGTTCTTATCAATTTTTTTTTTATTTCCAGATTCTCTTTATGTGTCTGCATTTTTTTTTTTTTACATTGTATCAACTAATATATAGTTTTTAAAGACCCATAAGAATTATTAAAACTAAACATGTATTGAAACTAAATATGTTTAAATTATTTCAAGAGAAACACAACACGTACTTTTTTTAATAATATGTTGCAAAAGTTCTAATAGCGCTTTAGCGTAATCATAAAAGGATGTGTAAAAAAACTGAAAATCATTGAAGAGAGACACAGGCTACTAAAAAACACGGTACAAAACAAAATTTAATCGAGTTTCAATTATCTCAAATCTCGTATGCACGTTATTGTGTCGGTAATACCGACCACATAAACTGGGAGGAGGGAATGATGGACTCATGGACTTATGAATAAACAGTTTCCCTACCTAGTCAGTGCATGGCATTGTGTTTGTATTTGTAATCATCAGTCGTGGCATCGTTACATTATATAATTATAAGTTTTGAAAACAATCGAAAGAAGCCGGTGCTAGGATTCCTACGATTAAGGAATCCTAAAAGCCGATTTCCCCGGAACTCATTGTTTTGTTTAGATTTTGTGTATAGTACAGGTATCAAAAAGTTGCGTTGCTCAGCTTGTCGGCTGCTGCTGTATTATGTCTGCTGAGTACAGATCCAAAATAGACAAAACAAAACTTTAAATTGAATAGTTTTTAAATGTTGGTCATTAACTCATTCATGAGTCGTAGCTAGTTCTTTAATGTTTATTTCTCTCTTTTAAACAAGGAAAAATAATACATACATGCCAGCTAAAACAAATTTCAAGAATAATAAGTACTAATCTGTTATCATACAAATTAACAGGGACATCAATTGGATAAAATAACTAAGGGATATACAAGCATGCCAATTACTCACATACCTATCTCAGCCATCCGAGGATTTCTTATCGTTAGTTTTTTTCCAGGCTAACGAACTGAAAAGTCTACGTCAGATAAGTATTCCAGTTCAAGAACTTAGTAGAGTGTAAATTTAATAATAGGTACTTTGATTCTTTGTTTTAATCTTTTTTTTTCGTTTTTCAGAAATGATATAATTCGTGTTATATGGTATTATTCAATCTAACATATTTACAAGGGCCACCAAAATCTTCGAAGAGCATGGAAACAAATTTCAAAGAGAGCAGAAGTGTTCGTACATCCTTCGAGTCTGATGTAGCATCAAAGTGCTCGTACCCGTATTAGAAAACTCTTGACTGTTGTAGTTTATTTAAAGAACTTTAGGCTGACAGCTGAATATAATGTAAAACTATTATCTATCTGTGACATGCTAAAACCTTTGGAAATTGCTTTACTTTTTAAGCTTTTTTTTGGTAGATAGTGATTTTACTGTACATTTTTATTTCTTATAATTTTTAATTTATATTGATAGTTGTAAGGGTTGTTGGAATTGGCCCAATCTGTGTATGGACAGATGTATGTAAGTAAACATGTATAAAATAGACTCAAGAAGCTCACAAAGAATCAACTGAACAAAATGTAGGTTGTATCTTTGTTTGTACGCCTACCTGATAGTTTTATTTACGACCATTTGTAATGAAAGAAATAATTATTTATATGTTTCAAAGTTGCAAAATGCAAAAAAGGATATTTTGTTATGTTATCTTAACTTAATCAGTATGTTGACACGTTAGTGTATAATTGTAAAAAAAAAAAGTTGTAAGTATAAGAAAATCAAACTTCGTGTATTATATGTATAGACCAAGAGCTGAGGCCTAAAGGTGGTCGAAAATCTAAATCAGCCACCACTCTTACCAGAATTAAGAAACCTCATGATTCGTGAAGATCCCAAATATTTTTTGTCACATTTCATTCTGGTGATGAGTTATGTAGTAATTAAAGTAGTGCCATGTAGTTAATTGTTTACACCAGGCCGCAACCTCAACCAACTGCTATGGAAATTAAAAGATTTTTAACTTATTGCCATTTGCGGCAAGATTAGAATATAAATTCTTCTCGAAATTCAACCTTTAAAAATTGGATCCATGGTCGATTTTTAAATAAAAGATGAATTTTAGTCTTCCCGCAAATGGCACGTAAACTACTTTTTATTTTCTTTATCCATTGGTTAAAGTTGCGGGTGTTTTATACGATCGACCACATGGCACTACTTTAATTACCGCATAACTCTTCACCAAAATATAATATGTCAAAAATATTTTGGAACTACATGAATCATAAGATAGCTTAATTTTGATGAGGGTGGCGGCTGGTTTAGATTTTGGACCACCTTCGGGCCTCAGCTCTAGGTCTAATACCAATACTAAGTTAACAGGAGCGATTCTTGGCAAACTGGTGGGGGCTAATAAATTTATAATATATTATTTCAAAATTGGCTTTATAATCATACTATGTTTTATTTTA